ACATAGTAAATGGCAGCCACTGCACAGTGCACAGGAAATACTCCAGATCTAAGCAAGTGCCTTGGTCAAGGTCACTGACTGGAAAACTTTAACTTAACTCCTTTATCAGATACCAAAATGCACCTTTACCCAGCTAATAAAAAAAATAGACATTTGGAGATACAAGTTTTTTTCCTTATTACATTTATAGATATACATGTGTCTTAACATGTACTGTGTGTATATTTTGGGGAAGTCTCATCACTTCCTGGAGCATCTGTAGAGTATGATCTGTATCTCTGTTCAGTGAAGTCACTTTTAATGTATCTTAAATTATTTAAAACATTGTATTAGTTTTATTTGAGTCATTCTGTTGATGAAGTCTGTCAATCTATTTGTAATCTATGAACTGACACAACTACAGTTTGTGAAACACAAGTTTCTTTTAAATGTGGCTGTCGTGTGAAATCTGCTTAGAAGGATTATGGAAGTGATGTAAGCCTAACTCTGTGGTACTTGCTGATTTTTACGCAGTAAGTGAACCACAAAGAGGAAACAGCACTATCAACTACAGATCTATAGTAGAGAAGAAAAGTCTCACACAACGTCTGCCTGCTGACAGAGAATAGACACAAAATGTCTCTACTGGAATTAATCCTTATTTTTGTGCTTCACTTTGAAGGTAAAGCTCTGTTTTCTTATTTCAATGGTAATAACAGCTTTATCCAATTGTAATTATAACATCAAATTTCTGTAAAGAAAAAATGGAACAGGGTTACTATTTTCCTGCTTTAGAAGTCACTTTGATGAGCTTTGATAAACTTTCTGGCCTCTAATAATGAGGATAGCAATTATTTCTTAGATAAATTGTTAAATGTATATAGACTTCAGCATATGCATATGTCAAAGACAGGAAAGTAATGATCAATAGTCTGTTTACTCTCTGTGTTCTCGTTGGTTTCTTTAAACTCAGGGGTGGATTTAAATAAATATTCATGGTGTGGTAAGAGGGTGGCATGGATGGGAGGCAGAAATATATGCTGATTTCAAACACATATATATATATATATATACATATATATTAGGGATGCACGATATATCGGCATTAATATCAGTAATGCGAGGCGGATGCTGCGTCAAGTCATTCAACACC